GATCATCGTAAAGCCTATTAACTGTTAATGTAGACAAAGGATTCTATTTTTGCTCATGGGTTTTAAACAAATATAGATGGAATTATTTCTACGAAAAACTGCCAGTGGCGTATTTTTTCTTGGGAAAACGGAGCGGCACCTTCAGTAGCACGCCACTGGTTAATACCACGAGGTTAATATTACATTCAATAAAAGGTCTAATTACGTAAATACGCTGTCATAAATTTAATCCAAATCGTTCCGCTTAATATGATGATATGACGAAAATATTTTTTTTAAACTTGAACACCCTGTGTCTCGAATAACACGTCCCCAGAAAAAAGTTTATAGAGCAAACTACTTATTATTTGGCAACTAATCTATTCCTGCAGTTTCTGTATTTAAAGTGAAATCACCCTGTATAACAAAGATGTGACCAGTGTGGTGATTGTTAAAATGTATTGTAAAGTTTGTGCAGTTTTCGTTTTCTATCGAAATCGTACCATGGAACCAGTGTCAAAATGGCCGCATATCTACAGCGGAATTTCATAAATCTACGTATGTTGTATAGTCCTTCCGAAGTCAGTTGAATATGCAAAAAACGTCTGGTAATAAAATTTAATGAGCTTCATAGGCGTCCCTAAAAAAATTTTCTTCTAAAGGTAAAAAATTATAATATTTTGTATATAATGTGTAGAAAATTTCTATTATATGTTCATGTGGCCAACTACATATTTTAATTTTTTATGTCCTCAAACAATTTTATTATATTGGTGGTAAATTTTGTTTTGTTCCGTTTCAAAAGGTCTCCACATGGCATCATGTTGTGATATATTAGTAAACAAAATATCCCTCTTATTTCTCCCTTTCGCAATTATTGTAATATGAATGATTGATAGAACGTGCCTATAATTAATTAAAATTGCCTGAATCACACCAAATTCCGCACTGTGTACTGCACTACTGGGCAATATATGAACCACTTGTCGCCTGCTGTGATATATTGCCCAGAAGCCCAATACAACTGTCCCCGTTTTCCTTTGGCCGCGCTCGCATTCTTCAACTGGTCGTATACATTTCTACCACCTGCACGTTTAGTTCGACCAGACCTATATATGGGTACGACTAAATAAATATGGGAACAAGTTTTTGAAATATTTCAGTGCCGAGTTGCTGCTTAGCGACCGAGCCTAGTACATACCTTGAAATTATAGGTTCTTCAATTGACTTCGGAAAAACTATACATGTTGACTCTCTTTTGGTTCTAGTCAAATTAGTTAAATAGAATTTAAAAGTCACCCACAGACTGTTTTAATGTATTAGGTTGCGTCCTACCCATCGATACTAATACTTGATTAAAAACAACCCACCAATATATCTAAACAAGTATATTTTTACAGAACAATGTTTTTTTAATGACTGTTCATAATGGCAGGCTTTCTACAAGTCAATAAGTTAAAGACAACTAATGTGAAACAAATTTTATTATTTTTTATTTAAATATTCAATATATTGATTTAACTCGGCATGGTCAGGTACGCGTATTTAAATATCCAGGACGTTCATTAAAAAATACATCTGAACTATTATGCTTTTTTATTTTCTGTAAAAACCCAGTAATAAAATTAAACCATATCCACATCCTTCACTTTGTGTTATTTTCAAAATAAATATCCATAATTTGGGGCCCTTTTCCTTTTATAAATTTGATAGTAATAAAAAATGACTTTGAAAGTTCGATATTTCGAAAGCGGTTAATTTAGGTACATGATGTACTATATGAATTTTGTTTAGAATTTCAAGAAGAATCGAAATATGGAATAATATATAGGGTGTTCCATTAAAAAAAGCTTTTTAACAGATTCTATATACTTAATTTTTGATTATTGTAATAGATTTTTAAAAACCATAAAACGTTTGTGTCTTATGATTTTTCTATGGTTATCTTACTTTAGGAGATAATCGACAGTTTCCATATAGGTATATCAGCAACCCTGTATACATCGTATACAAATATTTTATTTAATTAGTCAAATGTTTTCCAAAAAGTGGTACACTTTTTTCTATACTGGGTGTTAGTAAATAAGTGCGGCAAATTTCAGGGGGTGATTCTACATGAGAAAATAATGGCAGTTTGCTTATAAATGTATGTCCGTAAATGATTCGTTTTCCGAGATACGGGGTGTCAAAATTTTTCTTAAAAACTGACGATTTAATTTATTGCTCTGAAACCGGTCGAGATGTGCAAATGAAATTTGGTGGGTTTTAAGAGGTAGTTATTGCGCATTTTTTGACGCGCTATTAAGAATTTTATGTTTACCATTGGCGCGCGCACGGGTAATAATCTCAATTTTTTTAAAGAAAAAAATGGTACGCCACTGAGATATTACAAATTAAAAATCATTTTTGAATTCCTCGTTCAATTTGTGACAAAAAATCTCTCTTGCCTTTTCTTCGTATGGGGCGCCGTTTTGATGCAAAAAAATAAAACATCTTAACGCGTATTTTTTATTTCTTTAATACATTATCAAGAACTATCTAATACAATAACATTAAACCAGAACAATAACAGAAAATAACACTAATAAAATTTTGAAAAGGCGCAAAGCTACAACAAATGTTCAAAATGACCTCCCTCAGACGTGACACAAGATTCAACTCTTCGCCTCATTGATTGTCGTATTCGCGCAAATATTCCTGGTATATTTCTTATTGTCTCACAGCCGACTATAATTCGATTCCTCAGGTCATCAACATTTTCAACGGGAGTGGAATAAACTAATGACTTAAGAAAACCCCAAATGCAAAAATCAAGAGGATTTAAATCCGGCGATCGAGCAGGCCAATGTTCCGTACCTCCCCTACCTATCCAACGATTTGGATATACTGTGTCTAAGTGATTACGTACATTAATGCTAAAATGGGCTGGTGCACCATCATGCATGTACCATAGGTGTTGTCTCAGCTGTAGAGGAATTTCTTCAAGAAGAACAGGTAACTCTTCCTGTAGGAAATTAAGATAAGATTCGCCTGTTAGTCGTTGTGGGAGGAAATATGGACCGATTAAATGATCATCAATTACCCCAAGCCATACATTTACGGAAAACTGATGCTGAAAATGAGCTTCAAAGATTCCATGGGGGTTTTCCTCAGCCCATAAGTGATTGTTATGGAAATTTCGTATACACTGTCGTCCAAAAGTAGCCTCGTCAGTAAACAAAACGGCATTTAAAAAATTAGGAATTTGAGCGATTTGATGATTAATCCATTGGCAAAAAAATAGGCGCGGAAAAAAGTCTCTAGGTAGTAGAGCTTGCACACGTTCAATATGAAACGGATACAATTGCTGTTCTTTAAGAATTTTAAATACAGTGAAGTTGCTTACATTCAATATGTTGGCAATTTTTCGAGTACTTGTTTCAGGTGACTCCGCAATTAACTCGAGAACTGCTTCTTCTAGTTGCACAGTTCGTACTTCTCGAGGGCGCCCACAGTCAACCGTTTGTTTCTTAAATGAACCATTTTCGCGCAAACGTTGATGAAGACGAGCAAATATTGTGTGATGAGGTACCCTACGTCCTGGATACAACTCAGCATACAATCGTCGAGCTTGCCGACCATTTCCATTACTTCGACCATAGACAAAATGCATGTCTGACAATTCCGCATTTGTAAAATTTTCCATTCTTTTCGATAAAAGAAAAATTAATTACTTATTAACACTAATGTTATAGCAAACTAAAAGCTTAATAAATTAATAATGACGAAACGCTAATTTGACATTTCTTAAAAATATTCGTATTTAACAGACAAATGTTGACAGTAGCCTACTAGGTAATGTATTAAAGAAATAAAAAATACGCGTTAAGATGTTTTATTTGTTTGCATCAAAACGATGCTCCATACGAAGAAAAGGCAAGAGAGATTTTTTGTCACAAATTGAACGAGGAATTCAAAAATGATTTTAATTTGTAATATCTCAGTGGCGTACCATTTTTTTCTTTAAAAAAATTGAGTTTATTACTCGTACGCGCGCCAATGATGAACATAACATTTTTAATTGCATGTCAAAAATGGGCAATAACTACCTCTTAAAGCCCACCAAATTTCATTTGCACATATCGACCGGTTTCAGAGCAATAAATTAAATCGTCTGTTTTTAAGAAAAACTTTGGCACCCCGTATCTCGGAAAACGAATCATTTGCGGACATACGTTTATAGGCAAACTGCCATTATTTTCTCATGTAGAATCATTCCCTGAAATTTGTCGCACTTATTTACTAACACCCTGTATTAAAAAAAATAGTAGCTAAAATCTATTTTCTTAGATGTTCACATTAGGTAAATGAATAGACGTATTGATTACTTATTCGAAGTATCTTTCTGTTTACATTGTTAGGATATTTACCACGTATATATTTTTTACGTGGTTAATTGTGTTTAAACATACAGAGTGTCGTAGCTACAAATAGGTATTTTTTAGCAGTATTAATATTATTTTTTTATCATTAGTAGAATAAAATAATTATAATTTAAATAAAGAAAGAACATTAAACAATTAACTATTTATTAGACTTTACGTATATTAAAATGCAAAGTTGCAATGTAAAATTGAATTCCAAAACTATCAAAAGGGGGCTCATATAATACCAAATCATGAACTTGGATACAGTTATGCTTATATATTGATTTAATACTGTAAAAAAAATGCAAGTAGGAAGCGCTAAAGCCTTCAATGATACAAATAATTTAACTACATAAAGCGTTTACAATGGATATAACTGGGACTGATTCGATTCCTTATCAAATAATTCCAAATAAATTGGAATGAAATAAATTGACGTGATTGTTAAAGGGTGTCATTTATTCATCACTCTAACGAACCACAAATACAACGATTCTCCCCTTAAAAATATATATTCGAACAAGACCCCCTTGTACAAAGTCTAAGTACATAACGCATCCAAACTTCCCACACAACATCAGTATCGCTACAACCCCGTTAGTTGCAAGACAGAAAATGAAAAGTGATATATTCAACATAAGAATCCTGTTCGGGATTGGAAAGTTACTCGGTGTAACGCCCCTGTGGATGCACCGTTCAAAAGTTCTTTCGAAAGTTTACATTTCATTCCTCATCCTCCTGGTTACGTTCGGCACTTTCCTGTCGGTCAAGAAGAGATACATGGCGCTGTCGGAGTTAGACATGAGCATCGACCAAGCGTTCCTCGAGAGCTCCGAGTGCTTCACGGAGATGCTCTTTATGCTTTCGTGTTTCCTGGGAGTCATCCGCAGAAACGAAGCCTGGGGAGAACTCTTTCACAACTTCGTCAGAGCCGAAGAACAGTTACGCGGGATAGATTTCAATGACCACGGTCATCTATGCGTGTTCGGTGTAAGGTTAATAGTTATAAATGTGGCATTCTTCGCGGTACACGCGTATGAAATAATCATATGGGAAGAAGTCCACGAATTCAGCATAGAATACGGTTATATCCTGTACAGGATATCTATGTACTACCAGTTCTTCACTGTATATGTGGTTGTCTGCTTAGCTGAGATGTTGAAAAAGAGGTACGCGTTTCTGAACAAGCTCGTCGAGCGCACTTTGAAGGAAAGGAGCAAGGTTATCGTCATTTCCACCAAGGACAGTAGACGCGTCTTGGACAAGCTCACTAAGATACAAAGAATTTACACTGTCCTACACAACGCTGTGCAGAACATAAACGCTATATTTGGTTGGACTCTGTTCTTCTACTTCTCCACGTTCGTGATGAACATCCTGGTGAATATTAATTACGTCTTGAGGTACACGCAGACGGAAAACGTCGATTTGAATCTGAAGATACTGGCAACTTATGTTAGTTACTCTGTGGTTTACACTGTAAGTAAAGCTCAACGATGATTCAAGGGTTAATTAAACGCATGACGCTTTGTTTTCAGATTTCGACCATTTCGATAGTGATGTCATGTGATGAAGTAGATCGTAGTGGCAAGACGATTGTGAAAACCTGCTTTCTCCATCAAAAAGTGCTGGAAAGGCCTTCCATCAAGGACGAAGTGATCTTCTTTGCCAGGATAATGAAGGAGCTGGCACCCACCTTCTCCGCTGCTGGATTTTTTCCGATAAATCAGTCAGTTCTATCCACACTCTTTTCAGCTGTTACTACTTACCTTATAATAATTATACAGTTTAACATCACGCTGTAATCAAGCGAAATAAAATAAATATTGTCGCAGTAGGCCCTGAAATGGTTCAGAGTCCGTTGCGCGCTTGAAATAAACCCATATTTTGCGCTCGGCCCATAACACTTATTTAACAAATAAAAAAACAATCGAAACACAAAATAGTGACCTAGGGCTGTTGTGTAAAATTTTTCTCTATATTAATTTTTTATTGTTTAAATTTAAATAGTAAACTATGCAAGAAATCGCCATATTTATAATTTATTTACTTAAAAATAAAGGCTTAAATAAAAAATTGCTGGCAAGTGATCTATCTTTTAGCTTTTCAATGATACCAAAATTATATCGATTTGATAAAAATTACTCAAAATGCTAAATCCCGAACGCCTACAACTTCATAAACGAATATAATTTAAATTCTTCAACCACGTGAGCTTTACTTAAATGGGATGGGCTAAGAGATTAGTAATTGCGGGCAGAATCACAATTCAAAGTACTATCTAGTTGTTCAGTCATAATCTATATAAGTTCCCAAATGAGACAGTATAATTAAAGTTATGTTTGTTTTCACGTCGAGAGAAAGTATTGTTATATTTACAGTAAAAGACCACGCATTATTTACATTAAAAAGCGTTCTCGGTTAAAATTGAAAATTGCTCTGGATACGAGTTATTGTTGACTTCTGAAAAGTTCCGATGATAAATACCCCGGCAGATGGCTTGTTTGTCTGTGCTTGGTCACTTTTACTCCCTTTTAGTAGCATTTTAGACACCTGTGTAGATGGAGTAAAAACCCATTGTAGATAGCAATGTTACGCATTTGCAAGGAAGGATCGAGGTAGCGTGACATTATGTTCAATAGAACAGATCAGAGACGCGTGTAACCCATTTGGCCCCTCGTGAAGGATAATGGAGAATAATTCAGATTTTGCTGGTGAGAAAACCACATAAAATTTATATGATTCCGTTACGTTCCATTCCCCGTCATCCATTGTTCCAGCGAGAAATTCAGAACTAGTACAAATTGTTAGATATGTCTATACCGCCTCTTCTTTAAAAATTTGTGACTGCCAATGGATTGGCATGGATTGTGTGCAAGCACAAACCTAAGGTGTCCAGCAGCCACCAATACGCAATTCAGTTGGTATCTGGATTCGACCGTGTGGAAGTGTTTCTTGCGTACCACTATTTCCTTTTCTTGAGGTGTTTTCCAGCGAGTGCGCGAAAATTGGATTCGAAGGCGTCGTGCGTGCATCGAAAATAGTTGTGGACATTTTGAGCATATGTTGTAGTTTGTTTTATACTTGTGCGTTTAAAAATTACTGAATTTTGCTTTTTGGTAAGTACCTAATTTTTTTTTTAATACGTATGATTATTTGGACGTGAATCTTTGGGTACTTTAATTACATATTTTTCAAATACATAATTTGATTAAAAGTTAAGTTCCTGTTTTAAGAGATTCATGATTACTAAAATTTGAGCTGAAATTTAAGCGCAACACTATCTTCGTACTACAAAAACGATATATTTTATTTTATTTGTTTAAAAACTGGAAAACAATTGTCTTGAAATTTACTAGAATAGTTTATATTTTTACGTAGGACCAGTCTGCCGCATGCACACGTGGTGTGCAACAGCTGTGTAGAATGCTACACAGCTGATGCAGGTTAAGCGTTATTGTCACGTTTCACAGTGGTCGGAATTCCGAAAAGCTGGACAAAAGTCGAAATTTCAAAGTCGTTGGTTTGCGTTAATACTTCAGAATATTTTAGAGAAGGAGTCACTGCGTAGTTCTTTAATGTGACAGAGAGCTGGCCCATGTGTATAGACCACAACAACTATCGGAAGTATACTGTGACACATTAGCATATTTCACTTCTGCACAGTGGGGCAGAATCCCAAAAAGCTGGCCAAAAGTCAAAAAATAAAGTTTCTAATTCGGCAATTTTTACTGTTGGATTGGCTAGAGTAATATCTCAAGTCTCAGAATCCATTACTATTAGGGTCAAATTCCCTATACCTGCTTCTTAAATCACTACAAAAGCGACCTCTGCTCGAGGAAAACCTCTCTCGCGCGTAGGAACAGAAGTAATAGTTGTGTTTAAATGGTTATAAAATTTTGTAGAGTTCACCCATTTATATCTAACAAAATGGAATCAACTCATAAATGGTACATAGATTATGAGTATGTAGGTTAAAATACCCAATATTTTTACAAAAAATAGTAATTGGCTACCAAACTTACGTGAATTTTACGTTATAAAATGAAATAAGAATTTAGTTTTGAAGAAAAAAGTTTAACAATTCTGCAGAATTCTGTCATTTAACTTTCTGGACAAAAAAGATAAAACTATTATGTGCAAACTAAAAAAAAAATCAGCTGCCTATAAGTGCCTAACAACTTTTTGTATAAGATTTTGTAAAATGTAGAGTAAAATGAATTTCGCCTTCTCTGGACGGTGTAAGACATGGGAAGATTGCAGATAAAGACGAAATTGTGTCAACTTCAGAAGATTCGACGGATGCTACAAATGAAGATTTTTCATCTGATGATGATTCTTTTCTTTTATGGAAAAACTGGAATTTTATATTACAACTTTGGCACGGGATTCAAATAAATTACTCCCGACACTTATTTAACGAAATATATGTACCTATAGTCTAATATATCATTTGTCATTTTTACATCTTCTTCATGCTTGATAAATGTGACATTTCGTATGTCATATTTTAATTCTTGATCTACTCGGAAAGTCCCTATTTACAAAATATTTCTACTTCTGATATAGCTATATTAAATCCTCCACATTGGATTTTGTAATTCTGACTCCAAATTCATTATCAGCAACCCCAAAAACCTCCGAATAACAAATTTCAGATCGATTTTTAAGGATTTTGACTTTTGGCCAACTTTTTGGAATTCTGCCCCACTGTGTGACGCCTCGAAAAGCGGTGAATTGAAAATACGTGCAAATTTTTGCTAGAGTACGAATCGTTCTGTGCAATAGACAGGGTCGCTCATCTAGAACCTCATTTTTCGAAAGTTGCATGTTTTATCGTTTTAACAAAAACGTCTTACAATTTCCATCGATTTCAAATCACATCAATCGTAAATTACCGAAATAGTTGTGATCCTAAGAGATCCTGCACTATTGAAAGTTGGAAAATGCGGATAGGAGTGTCAATTTCATATATCAAAAGAGAAAACCACCGGATTTTTCCGGATTCGGGTTCTGAGTTATTTTTTATGCCTCCGTGTACGGCCGGTTTACTATTGTAAGAGGCCTTAGTTATACAATAGCTAGAGTTTTAGTGTCTCTTCGCGTTCCAAACGAGCGTTTCTAATTCAAATTGTTCTTTTTTATGAACATGCACCTTTTTCGTTTGTCATTTATCATATTTTTAAAAGCTTTTATTTAACTTGCATTGTTAGTATGGGTCAAATCTTGCAACTGAATTTTAATACAGTTTTTTCCCCAACCGATTGAGCTGAAATTTTGCATACATGTTTAGTTTGGATGATAATGCATGGTTATCTAAGTGACGTCATTCTAAATCCAATATGGCGGGCTTCCAAAGATGGTGGACCAGTTATTTTTTATGCACCCCCATGATATGGGTATCAAATGAAAGGGATTACTGAGAAGAATACGAAAATAAAATGAAGTCGCTAAATGCTTGCTTTTTTAATTATAGATGAACTTATTGTGTATGATCTTTCAATTCATAATTTATCATTTGCGACAAAATCAGGCACCAGTAAAATTACGTGCATGAAAAAATAAATTTTTCGATTTTTGAAAGGAAAATTCCAAGAGAATTTAGAAACGCAAATCATCATTTTAGATCAACATTTTTTAAAAAAGTGCAAGATAGATGAAAATGAGAAAATCTTTTCAATCGAAACTATGGTGATGAATGTTTTCATGCGCTGACGGTTATGTGACAGAAGATGACGATGCGAATGACTCATGTGTATTAGAATTAACTAAATAATTAGAATAAGCTTTATAACAAAAATAAGCTTCAATAGTATTTAGAAATTGTTTCGTTCGAATAAATGAGGAATTCATTCCAAATACATGCCTTATATAGCAGATATTTACCTTTCGTACTTTATTAATAATAATTACTTACCTCAAAAACCTCAAACTCCGACCTTACATACGTTTTACGCGACCTCAATACCAGAGGCACTCGAAATTTCAATTAGATTCAATAAATTAACGTGATATATCGGCCATTTTGTATCAGCCATCTTAAATTTGATATGTTTAACTGCAAATTCGGTTTTAGCGACCTGAAAAACATAAAGTCCCCACTTTTGATGATGATGCGAGTGTTTTTGGACTTTTGTCCAGCTTTTTCGGATTTCCGACCACTGTGCGTTGTGATGAAACTCCCCAATATTAAGGTAGTTCCTTCTAATAAAATCTAGGTTTAAGACACGTACGCAAATTTTTAAATCAATAGTTAAAGCAGTTCTGAATAACATATTTAAATTTTAAATCTTGACCATTTCGATTTTCTGAAATTAATTTTCAATGTTTAAAGAATTAACACGTGGGAGATAAGGATTCGTTATATTTCTCATAAACCAGTTTTACCGTTTATGCACAAATTTTTGTATGCGTAGAATTTTTTTTTTATTTTTTCGGTACAAAAAAAAATAATGATTGACCATTTAATGTAGTATGACAGTAATTAATTTTTTAAAACATCAAAATGAATAAGTTCGCTTGAATGGGTGGGAACGTCGCACTGACTAAATTGAGAAAATTGAGCGCGGAAGTTGATGCTTGGAGGTTTGGTATTATTAAAGAATTGTTATCTGACAGGAATTGTAGAACTACACTGGAGTTTTAAATGAATTGCAAATTATTTCATATTTAACGAAGAGTAACCTAAATAATAAAACAATAAGTAACGATTTTTTCATTGTGTAGTTT